GCTAGTCTAGGCTAGTAAAGTCTAGGATAGGAAAGTCTTGGTTGAGAGAGTACGATACATCGATGTAAAAGATGGAGTGGGACCTGTGCGTATCCACGCTTCATACCCTCCTCTTTCTTCTTCAGGTAAGGCCAGGCATGGTGGGGTAGGAGCATCCTGTTGGCAATTGGGCTAGGTTCAAGGTATGCCCAATGATATGCAAGGTGGATTTAGTTACCGGGCAAGGCTCCTTAATCTTCACTTCCCTTTATGGGATCAGCAGAATTCTAAAACTACGGAACCAACTGGAATATTTGATCTTTTTTATACCTTAAGACTCAGTTTCTTAATGTTCTTTTCTTCTCTTTCCTTTCTCTTTTTTCTTTATTCCTTTTTTCCCTCTACCAGTTGCTAGCCTCCATGATGGCCGGCAAGGGTGAGGGTCGGGACTCTTGAAGTAAACAAGCCTGTCCAAAACATAATCACCATATTCTCATCTCACTGTGAACACTGTAAAATGGTATAAAACAAAATCTCATGTTACCCAAATAGATTTCCCTCGTAAACGAGTATCTTGCCTAGATCACTTATATCTAAACTACATTCTAATCAATAAACTTACTCTAATTGAACACATAATTTGGTCAAACGAGCCTCAATGTGAGTGCAGCTAAAGAGGTGGCGTGAGTGTCATGGGCAAATTTAGAAAGACGGAAAGAGGAAAGGAAGAGGACGCATGCATGAGGGATTTTAGATTATTAGGTTTACATTTAAAAAATGAATAAATAAATAAATATTAATCGATGTGGACGGTCTGGTTCCCCCCTTGGAACCAGGAACCGAGAACCGGATCGGCACCCCTAGGAATCGGACTGAACCGGCCGATTCAGTTTGATCCGAGCGGTTCCTAGTTCAGTCAATCCGCCTTGCTCACCCCTAGCCTTTGGCACGACAAGGGGCCTTGCCCAGGCAAGGCCGGCAAGGGCGTCCTGACCCTCATCGGTTCCTCCCTTGGAATTGGGAACCAAACCACTCGGATATCGGTTTCACTTTTAAGAACCGGGAATCAGACTGAATCGGTTGGTTCACCCCTAGCCTCTAGTGATGGTAAGGGGCCTTGCCCAGGTGAGGCCAAACCTCGCCAAAGGTCAGCAAGGGCGTCCCGACCCTCATTGGTGTCCAGCGACCTCCGTCGACCATTATGGAGGTTGAAGATTGGTGGAGGTGAATAAGGAAAAATAAAGGAATTGAAAGGAAAGAAAAAAAGGAAGCAAAATAAGGAAAAGAGAAGATAGTAAAGAAAAGAAAAATGTAGGACTGGTGTCCTCGTCGGTGATTTAAAAACAAAACAAAATATCCACATCAACACCAGTCGTGGCACTTAGGATGGCCGGTGTCCTTGTCATTGATTTTTGGTCTAAATTGGCTAGATGGGCCCAGTTGGTACCAATGTGAAAAGGTTTAAGACTAAATTGGTCAAATTGAAAAGTGTAGGACTGAATTGGTATCAATGCAATATGTTTATGATTTTTTGGTGTTTTTACCTATTATGGATAAAAGTACCCTGTTAAACAAAAAGAGTGTATTACAATATTTCAGTATATAATCCTAGCTAGGAAATATTTATGAAACTATTTTAGAAAATGGATTTATATAAGGTACACTAGAGTAAAATGTTTTTCACACAAGTAGTAATGAAATGAGAACTCTCACCAGTCGGTGGAATGAACACAGTTACCAACCCCCCCAAAATGGTGACAACAAGGCGTGGTGCAGATGGATACCTGACTTCGCACTTGAGGAATGAGTTGGCCTAACATGAAAGATCTAAAGATGAAAATAGAGTTTGTTTAATCGATGTTTTGGAGCGGTTAACAAATTTAGTGAGCTCATAACTCAATAATTCAAATTTTTGAGCGAAAGTGTGTCTATATGTTTCTTCTATGCCTAAGTAGGTCTATGTTATTTGGTTCTTATTAGATTCTCTCTTAGTAATCTCCCTCGTAACGAAACCATTACAATTTTCCGCTTACACTTCTGTTGCGCTTCCCAAACAGACCGTATCATCTCAATTCCATCCCAACTCTTCCTAGTTCGCACATGATCCCCATTTCATCTCATTTTGTTCTGTTCCCACGTTATTCAAGTGCCACATCAAATTACAATAATTACTTTTCCACCTCAGGCCAAGAGAAGTCCTGTTTGTTTGGTGCCTTTAATACTAGTCAGGCCGACGAGAGAGATGGCGTCCAACAAAGGATTCAAGTTTTCACATGACAGACCCTAAAGGGAACTGGCTCCAAGTCCTTTATAAATAGACCCGATGGGTTTATGCAATCTCTCGTTCCAAGAAGCAAGCTAAATCCTTCTCACCCAAATCTTCATGGAGTCCCAACACCCCTCGATTCAATCTCTCGTCAATGTGATCAAAAGAGAGATACTCCCCAACATGGGCTCGAGCTCATTCCTCTCCCCTTCACCATATGACACCGCATGGTTGGCGATGATTCCCGATTGTCACCAACATGATTGTCCTATGTTCGAGGGGTGTTTGAATTGGGTGCTCCATAATCAGAATGAAGAAGGGTTTTGGGGAGATTATGATCACGACGAGTATCAAATGTCTGACAGAGTGGAGTGTCTTGCTTCAACTCTTGTTTGCATGACCGTGCTCAAAAAGTGGCATGTTGGTTCATCTTTGATAGAGAAAGGTACCATGTGCTTCACTTTCAAATAAATACCAAAATGTGGCCATCACAAACACAATTTTTCTTCATTTACATCAAAAAATGTCCATCGCAAATATATTTCTTCCTTCCAGGATAAAATATACTTTAAATTACTTTTGTGATCACTTCACTAAACTCTGTACTCAACTTTCAATAAGGTCACTTCGTTCACTTTTCAACCCGCGGCCTAACCCATCAAATATAATGTGGTTTCTAGTTAAAATTAGGTCAATGATCATCTATGAAAGTCAAACTTAAGTCAACAAGGACACGAGATCTCTAATATTAAGATAGCATATAAAAGACGATGCAAGTAACTATTGTACTTGGTTCCTTATTGAAAATTTTCCCTAACAGTCATATAGTTCTTCACAAACTCTTCTCTAATACTTCTCCATTTTTTTGGATTTTTTACGTTTCAGGATTAAAGTTCATTCATGAAAATGCGGAATTGCTTCTTTCAAGAAAAAAACATGGAAAGTTTCCCCGTTGGATCACTATCATCTTGCCTGGAATGGTAGATTTGGCACGTGCTGTTGGTTTGGAGGTCATATTCCCCGAAAGCACCGAACATGCCATTGCAGATTTATTCGGCAATCGACAACGAATTCTCAAAAGGCAATTCTATTTCTTTCCTTCTTTATTGGTCGAAAATTATCATATGTTTTTTTTTTCAAGTGGACCTACTTTTGCACATCGGTCGCTATACTTTTAAATTTCAGTACTCATACAGCCCCAACCATTTCAATTTAGTTCAATCTCAGTCCCCCACCAAAACGGCATGCATCCTTCTTGGCCGAATTAGGTTTCTTTATTATTTTGTTAAAGGAACTTACTATATAAAGAAGAAGATCTCTTCAACAGTCGATCGACCAACTTAACAACAATTAATGTCATGGAGTGAGACCAACCATAATTTTGGTGCAATGATAGTAAGTCTTGAAGATTAGACAAATGGGTTTTCAGAGCCTCAAATCTAAAAGCGCCAAAAAGTTGGGGCCCTAAAGCCAGCCACAACTCCCATGTTTTTTCCTCCTCAGACACGATCATAACTTTTAGGGTTTTGGCCTTTTGCAGGGAAGAACTTGTCGACAAGAACCAATGTTACCCATTGTTGTCGTATCTTGAGGCCCTGCCTCCAACATACAAAATCAGCCATGAAACCATATTGAAGCATCTGGACAGCGACGGCTCTTTGTTTCAATCACCCTCTGCAACATCAAGCGCATACCTAGCCACCGGGAACAAAGAATGCTTGGCTTATCTTCAATCTCTTGCTTCGAATTGTGCTTCTAATGGTGGTAAGTGAATGCTATGTTCAAAAGATTTTTAGATGCTATCGGAACATGTTGTTCTTGTTTCCCTGACTATTTTCATTTCATGAAAATTATATATTGTCATTTTCGGAAAAGAGAATAAAATTATCGTAATAATTGATGGGTTGTGATTGATCCGAGTTGATGGAATTGTCATATATTCGGGGCATTGAAATTCTCTCGTTCTATAGAAGGTATGACAAGGAATGCATCAACTTTATTTGTGTCTTTTTGTTTCTTTCAGCTGAACTTATATGGCCAATGAGACGGCCTCAAACTGGAACCTATCTGCATACATAGAACAGAAACTTTGATTTTTTTTTCAGCAAATTTGGGCCGGAGATGCAAAACCGAAGATTTTGATATTTCAATGGGCAAAATCCTTCAAGTCCTTGTATAGGGACTTAAAGTTGAAATTCAAATCATGCTTTTAGATTAAGTAGGCTGTGTTTGGCGTGAGACAAGACTTCAAATGGTGGATCACTAAAAGCCAAACTAACGAAAACTCATTTAATAGGAGTAGAGTAATTATAGCATATACCATCGCTGTAAGGTTTGAAAATTTATTTGTTAAATTTACATAGTTTTCCTTTTAGAACGTTCATAACACTTGAATTTTCCTTTTAGAACGTTCATAACACTTGAATATCTTTTCGCTTTTCTTGATGATTAAAGCAGTTCCATCTCTATACATCGTGGATGAAGAGCTTACAAAACTTTCCATGGTTTATCAACTAGTGAGATTAGGGTTGACCGAGTACTTTGACCAGGAAAAGGATGAAATTTTGGCACAAATCTATCGGTTAGTAAAAGTTTCCTAGTCTCTTTGTTTTGATCTAGAAAAACTACTAAAGTTCCCGACAAAGCTGTCGCCTATTTTCTATTGTCGATAGTGATTGCTTTTGAGGTCACCGAAATTGTCCATAGGGCATCTCTAACTAATTCAAGCATACTAACATTTCTTTTTTCAGGAACTACATGCATGAAAAACCGATCACGAAATCAATTCATTCAATCGGTGTCGAGCTATACAAAGATTGCTTGGTATTCTGGCTTTTGCGCATGCATGGTTATAGTGTATCACCATGTACGAGTTGCAAACTTTACAAGTTCCTCAATCAGTTTCTTTTCCTTGGGGTCTTTCATGGGTGATATTTTGAAGTGGTTCCATTAATTTCAATTGTATTCTGCATTTTGCAGCAAGCTTTTGTTGGTTTCTAGATCGTGAAGAAGTTCGAGATCACATTGAAAAACATTATGAGTACTACTCAAGCGTGCTCCTTAACGTTTATAGAGCCAGCAGCCTTATGCTTCCGGATGAACATCAACTTGAGAAAGCAAGAACTTTCTCGAAGAAGTTTCTTGAGAAAATCGTATCCGGAGGAACGAGAGATGAAAGCTTCATCTCGTCGAGTCATCGCAGAATGGTTAGTATAAACATCGGGTACTTCTTTTCATTCCGTATAATATCTTATGATAACGGTAAACGCTTGACATGTCCGTGTAGATTGAGCACGAGCTGGGTCTTCCATGGATGGCTCGCCTAGACCATCTGGAACATAGGATGTGGCTGGAGGAAAAAGATGCTTGTGTATTATGGATGGGAAAATTTTCTTCCCATAGGTATTAATGACTTAAAGAGGAAATTATAATGTTGCTTTATTACTATGCTATAATATGAAATTAACTTTTTGCTTTTCTTTGATTTCATTAGGTCATCACTGATTCATAATCAAGATATAGTGCAACTTGCTGTGCAAAACTTTGTACTGAGACAATCTGTTTACAGGATGGAGCTTGACGTAGTAAAAGGGTATATATGCATATGGTTTAGTTAAGGGTTGTTAATTAGAAAATAATTATTTCTAATGACTCTTCATTAATGGATGAGTTCAGGTGGTCCGAAAAAATTGAACTTAGCAAGATGGGGTTCGGTCGAGAGAAGACAGTGTACTCTTATTTTGCTGTCGCCTCTTCCGTTTCTTTGCCTTGCAACTCCGACGTGCGAGTATTGGTCGCCAAGAGCGCAATCATAATAACCGTCGCCGATGATTTTTTTGACATGGAAGGTTCATTAGAGGATCTAGAAAAGCTTACTGATGCGGTTCAAAGGTACGATTATCAACTAAACGATGTATTAAGAAAAGCTTACTGATGCGGTTCAAAGGTACGATTATCAACTAAACGATGTATTAAAGCATTTCTTATTTTAATCATTCAAAATATCAATATCCTTCTTGAGATAAGAAATAGATGGAAAATAGTGCGTCCAATAGTATGTGAACCTATACCAAAGGCTTAGTATTTGTCTAACTCTAACTTACTATTTCTACAATTTATATCAAGAGGTGCATTCACTAAACCATATGCACGAGGCGACTCTATGCCTAGATACAAAATTAGTGTGTATGGTTTCTATACTCATCTCCCATGGCGTCACTGTCTATTCGATTAGTTGAACCTTAGAATCGCCTCTTTTTGTGGGTGACGAACATTATACTAGGTGGGACGGTGAAGGACTAAGTGGGCACGCCAAGACCATATTCGAAGCCCTCGACGATCTCGTCACCAACTTTAGAGTGAAATGCTTCAAACAATCGGGGAAGGACATCAAGAAAAACCTTCAACATATTGTACGTCTCACGTTCCTTAATTATACTTCTCTTTCTTTACTTTGCTACACCGAGCAATTATCTTTCTTTTAAATGGCCTAAAACACTGTGTTTGGTACGAAAGTGGGGTGAGACATTTCATTCATGGCTCACGGAAGCGAAGTGGAGCCGAAGTGGAGGTGCACCTACGACACACGAGTACCTCGACGTGGGCATGACGTCTGTCGCAGCACACACCTTAGTCCTTCCCTCTACGTGCCTCGCGAGCCCCACGACGCCGTTGCAGCAGCTGTGGTCCAACCCCTACCAGCCCATCACCGAATTGCTCATGCTCATCGCTCGGTTGTTAAATGATGTCCCAGGCTACCTGGTAAAGTTTTTAGTGTCTTGAGGTTATTTGAACTGTTCAATATGATAGAACTGTTCAATATGATAGAGCCAAGTTTGGCCGCAGGCCAAGCAGCCATAATTAGCCGCTGCTCTCTAGGTGGCGCTTGTGCATTGGTGCTCTTATTGTGCACCTATGTACACTCTTCTCTTACTTCTTTTGCCTGTTGTTATGATTCTGTCCTCACAAACCCCACCTGCTTGTCTCTCTCTCTCTCTCTCTCTCTCTCTCTCATTACAGAAAGAAGAAAAGCAAGGGAAATTGAACTTTGTGCTGCTCTACCTAAAGGAAAACCCCGAGGCCAACATTGAGGACTCCATCAAATTCGTGCAAATGCTGCTAGACCAACTGAAGAAAGAGTTCCTCCAACACGTCCTTGATGAGCTCTGCGACTTGCCCGAACCGAGCAGGCGGCTCCACCTTGGGTGCTTGAAAGTGTTCCACATGTTCTTCAACTCCTCCAACCGATACGATTCAGACACAGACATGCTCCATGACATCCAGAAAGCGCTTGTAGTCCCGCCGCAAGTCCCCAAATTGAAGCCCTTGAGGGCTTTGCCGGAGCAACCGGGACCGAAGCCACGGATGTTTGGGACCAAGAGCATGTCCGGCCAATTTGGCCTCGAGCTTTTTCCTAGGAAGAGCTTTATTGGGTATCGAATGTCTTCCCAAACAGGTCCAGTGAATAGATGGGGGAAGATGTACAAGTCATCTAGTTTTAAGTTATGTTTCGCTTAGTTATAGCAGTGGTATATCTTCATGTACTATTGTCATAAGCCAATCTTATAGGTTGCCCCACCTGAAGCTATGGTATTTCGTGCTTCAATCTCGTTGTTGTCCGTGTGGAAAGCGTTACAAGTCCACCTTCCAATTCTGTCAGAATTGAGCAATTTGGAATCTTCTAACTGAAATTACGATAAAAATAGTAGCGGTTAGTAGTCATATTTGATCGAGACTAAGTTGCAATAAGTATGTAATATACACTAAACTAAATCTAAACCATTAAAAATAGTGAGTCCGATGTAACTCTCAAGTGGATTCCATCAATTGTGATGCTTGTCCAATTTCAGTTTAGTGCATTAGTTAGGTTGATTGAATTATTTTGAGAGAGAGAGAGAGAGAGAGAGAGAGAGAGAGAGAGAGAGAGAGCATTTATGTAACAGTTTGAATTTTCGATCCTTTTCCCGGGATTTAAGAAATGAATATTTTGGCCAATGCACTTATAGTGAGATCTCACCCGGAAATACGCATTCACGGGATGCTAACCTTAGGGGTAAGGCCATTACGGGATTGAGTTCGCACGACCAAAGAACTCGATCTTGGTTCGACCTTCGACTATAAGGATTGACGAGAGAATGTTTTGAGCCAACCAAGACCGATCTAATTGATTGATCGTGTCCAAAGCGAACTAGCGACAGACCCTCACAATTACATGGCAACTGAGGTCGTCCCGGGTAGAGTAAACTTAAACGTGATTTGACTTGGTGTCGGTCACGGGTCGAGAGCGCGTAATCCCAATGAGCCACCTGTTAGCCAGAGATAAGCTAAAGTTGCGATTGTTCAATTTTAGTCATTTCTTGGAATTCGGACCCGGGAATCGAGAATTTTGAAAGTGACAATTTTGAGCGGCCGATGACGTTTTTGGCTTGGCCAACCTTGGGGCCACCCATTTCTGCAAAAAAATGGATTTCGGTTTGGGACCGGAAAAATTACGATTTTGCCCCTCTGGTCACCGACGTTGATTTTTAGGCCGTATGAGATTATTTTTCGAGGCTGATGTCATTTTGGGGGTGGCCACACACATTTAGAGTTGTTACGATCAAAAATTGGAATTTTGGCTCGGAAGTGAAAAATAATATTATTTTATTCCCCAGGACTTTGCAGTTGATTTTCGAGGGTTTAAGAAGCTATTTTCACGATTCCGACGCCATATTACGTTGGCCACACCCATTTGAGGTTGGTACGGGCGAAAAATGGAATTTCGACCCGGGACCGGAAAAATGACCATTTTGCCCCTAGGCTAATTTTGGGGTTCCGAATTTTGGGCTATTTTGGGGATTAATTTAAGGCTATATTTCAGCCCAATAATTCAGCCTAGTAAATTACAAGAATGCCCCTCAATTATTGGATGAGGATTAATGTGAGCCAAGTATTTGAGGGCATTTTGGGCATTTAGGAAAAGTTGGTCCAACTTAGTCAAATCTCTCTCTCTCTCTCTCCCCCATTCTTGTTCCCCCTCTCTCACTCCCTCCCCCTCACTCTCCCGTGTTCTCTCTCTCTCTCTCTCTCTCTCTCTCTCTCTCTCTCTCTCTCTCTCTCCCGTCCTCCCCCTTGCTCGGCCGTGGACTCGCCGGAACCGCCGCACGCCGCCGCCGCGCCGCCGTTCGTTGCCTGGCCGCCGGCGACGCTGCTGCTGCTGGGGCCGGCTGCTCCAGCCCTTATCCAGCCCGTTCGTCTCGCCTTTCTTAGGTAAGTGACCTCCCCAAATGTCGCCTAGGACCTTGGGTATTGCTAGGCTCGTTTAGGGCTCGGTTTAGGGTGAATTAAGTGGCTGTTTTGGGTTTCAGCTAGGGGCTGGAAATTGGTTGTTGTGGACTGATTTGGAGACTGAAAATATGAGGTTTGGGAGGTTTGGATAGGGCCGTGATGATACGGAACGATTACGGTTTGAATTCGTGTGATTTGGTGTGATTTTCGGATTTGTGACTACTGTACCCTTCCGGTTTGCTATTTTTGTGGAGAATTTTGGGGGCCGAATTTGAGGAAGTTTTCTTCATGAAAGTTTCTCCCAACATCTTGAATTATAACATAATTTAATTTGGGAATTTTTGGAAATCATTTGAGGCCATTCGGAAGTCCATCTTTGGACCGAAACAAAACTGCCCGATTTACTGTTCACCCGACCTTCTGGTCTGTTGGAATTTTTATAAATTTTTCCAGGCCTATTTTCAAAATACTTCCTTCACAAAAATTGTTGGGGACATTTGTGGCTATAACATATAAAAATTTCAAAGCTTTTCAAGGTGATTTGGGTGTTGAAAGAAATGTATTTTGAGGACAAAATAGTCTGTTAGAGCGAACTGATTTTGGTCTGATTTCGAGGGACAAAAAGGCATGGTTGTAGATTGAACCGGATTTCATGTTCTTCATAAGAAATGTTGATCAAGATGTGTTTTATGATATATCAAAATTTTAGAATTTTTGGAGTTCGTTTACTATTTATTTTGATGAGGCAATTTTGTGGCTGTTTTGGGACTGAATGAGTGGCTGATCATTTGGTGGTTGTGGACTGAATTGGGGATGAAAATTTGAGGTTTAGGAAGCTCGGGTAGGGCTGTGATGTTGTGGCTGGATTGGGGGTTGAATTTGTGCAATCGATCGGTGGGATTATGCTATGAATTGAATTGTGTACGTGGTTGTGTGATTTGTGATTGTGGGCTGATTTGGATTATGCTTGGGTTGAAGGTGGTGCGGTAATGTGCCGTAGGTGTGTGGCCGTGAGGTGTGGTGGTGTGATAGTGCATTCGCGTATTGTATTCGCGTGCCAAGAATGTGTGATTGGGTGGCGTGTTCGTGTGACGAGAATGTGAAATTGTGAAATGTGTGTGTGAGGTGTGTATGTTTGGCCGTGCGATTGTTGGGCGTGTGTAAGTGTGGTTTGAGTGGAACGAGGGTATGGAAATGTAGGATTTGTGGTAAAGGATCCGTCCTGAGGCGTGTTCGTTTACGCGGGACGATGCCGTCCCTGACGAGGTGACGATGCCCGGCCCGACGGGGTGACGATGCCTGACGTGGTCAGAAGACCGTTGGCCTGATGTGTTTTACGTGGACGCGATAGAAGGAAAGTGTGTGTAGGATTCCGTCCTGAGGTGTGTTCGTTTACGCGAGACGATGCCGTCCCTGACGAGGTGACGATGCCCGGCCCGACGGGGTGTCGATGCCTGACGAGATCAGAAGACCGTTGGCCTGATGCGTTTTACGCGGGCGCGGTAGTGGTGGAAGAGTTGAGAATGAGTGGGAATTGGCTTGAGGTGTGAGGTTTGAGAAAGGGACGCATTGTGTGAGTTAGTGTGCGAGTGTGTTTGTATCGCGTGATGTGATGCTTAATTATGGGGTAGAAACTGCTAGGCACGGTATGGGACGTGCCCAAGTGGTTTCTGTCTTATAATTAAGGCACGCGTGCGTCTGTGATGTATTACTGTGAAGTGCTGGATGTATTATGGTCTAACATGCAGGAACGTGCATGATGGATTCCAAGTAGGTTCGTGTGTGATTGTTAGATTGATTGATCGTTGTGTGAGATGCGTGTTCTGTCTGGCGGTACGTGAGTGTCTACGTGGGGTTTGGGGTTGTACACTTATTGAGATTCGTCTCATAGTTGTATAATCCACAATTTCAGACCCCCAGCCGTAAACCCGGGAAGTTCGCCTCTTCTTTTTGGAAGTTCGAGGAACCGTTTTTGGTGCCCGGTGGAACTGCAGGTGAGTGTCCGGAGGCTCAAGCCCGAAGAATCAGGAGCAGAACGGAAGGCGATCCTTAGGTTTTCCCTAGGGTATTTTAGGGGTTGTGTAAATCAGGTTGACCCATAGGGAAGTTAAGTTAACCAGACCCTGATCTTTTGTTATGACGGTGATCTCGGATGCTAGTTTGATAATTATGTTTGTAATATAATGTTAGTTTTTGTGGTGCAGTAATATTGTATGAAATGCTGCTGTTATTGTTTGTCTGTTCTGTTGTTCTACCCCGTTGTCGTCATCTTTCTGTCCGGGGTTTTGTTTTATATATATCCGCTTCCGCATGTGACTCTGATATTTGGGTTGGGTCGGCGACGTTCCTGAGACGTCGCAACTATTCGACCGGAGCAGGGGATGTCGCAAGCTCGATGGGGCTCGGGGTGTGACAATTTAGGCTCCATTTGTTTTGCCGGGGGGAGGGGGTAGAGAGAGAGAGCATTTAGGCTCCATTTGTTTTGTGAAAAATGAATGATTTGGAAAATATTTTCTCAAAAATGATTGCTTATATCACTTGAAATTATTGAGAGTGCCGAGCAGAAACCTGATACCTTCAGTTGGGAAGATCGCAAAAAAGTAGCCTAAGTCTGAGCCCATCAATATATTCAATTAGACCTACATTCACTTAAAAGCTTAAGCCAATAAGTTATGGGCTGACTTGGATATATTAACTACTCCACACCACACCAATTTCCCGATACTGGACTTTCTTAACATGCTTCCCAACAATCTCCACTTTCACGTGTGAGCTCATTGTTGGGTCTGCTCCCCCTTAATCCAAGTATCCTTCTGCATCAAGATATCTCAGCTTAAATCTCCATCAATGCCCAACTTCGTCCTTCATCTCTTTCTTTAGACCGAACCATGAAGTTGCCTATCGGGGTCACGTTGCTACACCATAATGCCCACCACCCAGAAACTGCATGGTCACCAGATTCATTTCCTAAGACATTCTCCAAACACCGGAATAGATTGGGGGTGACCATTGGTTCTGCTATCATTTGTTGGGAGCGCGTAGCAGAAGTCTTATACCTTCACTCGGGGAAATTGCCAAGAGGGAGCCTAAGTTCAAGCCCGTCAACATATCCAGTTGAACCAACTTGCACTCAAAAACTTAATCCAATGAGTTATGGGCCAACTTGGATATATTAACTACTCCACACCATACCAATTCTTCGATGTGGAATTTTTCTAACACAACTTACACGTCAATTCTAACAAAAGTAATTAGTCAATGATATTCTATTATCGAC